ATATATATATATATATAAATTATGATTATTTTATGAAATGATTAGTGAATGATAATATTTTTTTTGAATTTTATTATCATGTATGTTTATTTTGAGTAAAAAAAAATAAAAAATTGTTATTTTTTAATTAGTAAAAAAATCAATTTATATATAAAAAAATTAATTTGACACCCTCAAAATTTTTATTAAAGTTTCGGCACTGGGTAGAGTGCTCTTTTGAGGAGTGATGAGTGAACTAGTCTTTGCAAGAGTTATTTCAAGTGAAAGAACCTCTAATTAGACTTGATATAGATCATTTACATGCTATAATATTTAACTTTTTGCTTGCATAAGTTCTATTAATTCCTTAGCCATTGAATTCCACGTATTTAATCTAAACATCATAGTGATCACTTGAGTTTAAATGAATTTTTAGGAATTGTGGTGCAAATAAGAATAAATGAAATAGTAAGATGAAGAAAAAAGAAGATTATGGAATAGACATATAGACAAAAGTGTCTAGACTTCATTAATGGAGGCGATGAAATAAGAAAAGGAGAAGTAGGAAGAAAAAGAAAAAATGAAATTATTTTTCTCTAAATGCTCCAATTTAATTTCTGGAAAATCCTCAAATGCTTCAATTTAATCACATAAAATGTGAAAACAATCTTTCTCTAACCCTTCCTCATAAAACTCAAATTCAATGAAGACCTTATTTGAAGAAATTAAACTTCCAAACCAACGATTTGTTGGTAATTGATAAATTACAAGTAGCCATCAAGTTATAACTCATAAAATTTTTTGTCAAGAGTATATTATATTGGGAAGAGAATATATATTTTATGTGTATTCATAATTTTCAATAGTATTAGTCACTATTTCTAACCAGAAATAATTCATATTAATATCATCATGATTAAAAAAAACTTTCCTTAGATATGTTCAATCTTATGTAATTCGTGTATGATGTTGGATGTAAATGTTTCGTAAATCAATTTCATTTAAACATTTAAAAGTAATTAAATTAAACAACTAATTAAAAAGACGTATAAAAGATCACATCGTCTGACTTTGCAATATTTCTCTAGTTAACAGTGATTGTCTTCATGTTCGCATAGTTCACCTGAATGTAATTTTTACCGTTGACTTTTGATTCGTACTGGCCATTGGCCAATTCCTAATCCAAAGCTTAAAAAAGAGTATACGTATAATCTTCCAAACATGTTATAAGCTTAAATTTGTAACGTCGCTATCCAATTTCCTATGTTCATATCTAGTTCCTTAAAGTAGAGGGAAACACTTGAACTTTGAACTGCTCCACACAACTCCAAATTTGTATCATTTAATTGGAGTATCTAATAAGACCCTTCTGATATATGTTTTTTTAATTTACCTAATTAATTAAGGCTAGGTCAAGACATAACCCCTATGCTGGCCTTCTATATAACAATCATTACAACAAAGATTATTAAACTCTGTGAGTTGGACTTGTATGAAGGCCATGTGGACAAAAGTTCCATGAATGTGTAATTAAGTTCAAAACGATGAGGTTGGATTTGCTAATTTAGGGTTGAGATGATAGGATCTCAATCATTCTCATACAATGACGGAAACATGGGGAAATGAGAATGTCATTACTTGAAAAACAAGTACACAAGTTGGGTTGGAGATGTGAAGTGTAATATTCCATTTGGCAATTAGATGAGAGATTAAGATACCCAACCTTCTTCCACAGCGACACCAGTAATATAAGATCATTTCCACATTTTTTTATACAAATTTAGAATAAAACAAAATTGTAAACCAAAACTTGGGTAGAAAATCCTTGCTCTAACCATAAAATTCAGCATAATTTTTATTTTGTAGATAGTTATAAACCTTAGAGCATTTGTAATGGGAGTTGCTTATAAGCAACTCCATTGAAGATGCTCTTTGATATGTATTGACTGGCATCCTACATATGAGTGTTAAAAAGATGATGTTTTAAAAAAATTAGTCTGCAAAGAAAAATATTTCCTCAATCTCTAAATAATTTTGCACTTTAATTTGATATTTAATGGAGTTTCGATTTCTTTCCCAATTAATTATCGATTAGTACCAATATTATCACTGATCACATGCACTATTTCATTAGAGAAAAAATAATTATTTTATTTGATAATTTTTTACTGAAATTAGTAATGTTTTTAGGGATAAATATTTTATATTATTATCATGATAATAAAAAATAATAATTTTCAAAAGCTAATTGTACTATCCGTATCGCAAGCTGAGTTCTAGCTCGGCATTACAGCACAGAACGACCTCGAACATGCGCTAGGCGACATCGACCAAGACGAGGCACGCTATCTAAATAGGTCATAACTAATCTCGGACCCAAGGCCCAACGAAATCCTAATTTATATAAAAGTACCTGCATTACTTATACGAGACTCCGACATCTACAAATATTAACTTTA